TCTAAAAATGCATGTGGTCAGATGGAAAAACACACAAACTTGTCCATTTGTACAAAATGAAATAGCTGGTAATGGACAGACACAATGTTACTGATGGTTACATCCTCATGCAATAAAGAGGATATATGTTGTATCAAAAGACAGCTGAAGGTGCAGAGGGTATAGCAAACGGTTGTCTTGAAACTGTTTGTCTAGAACTGTCATTGCTGCTTTTAATAGAAGATAATAATTTAGGTGTGAAAATCATGCTTCCTTAGTTTTTAACTAAAGAGTATTCTGTATCATAAATACAGTTTTGAGATTTTTAAAGTAACAAACCTGCTTTAAAGTATGTTGAAACATCAGTAACTTGTGATTAATTTGATTGTGTGCAGTTCCCTGCCTGCATTGGCATGTATGCATTAGGAGCCATGGTTCCCCCATGCAATATGAAAGCCACATAGATTTGATATTAGAGCAGTATTTCCATAGATGGCGATGATCATTGCAGCATTTACATAAATATATGTATCTGTAATTCAAAACACATGCAGTGTTTCGACAGGAAAAATGAGGAGAGGACCAAAATAAGAGTTTAATGTCTAGGTACCAAAGTTCTTTAGATATTTAATTCTGGACCAACATGGCGGACTCGACTGACGACTATCCTGAAACGTTTTAATGCTCACGCTTCTATTGAAAAGTAAATTAATGGACTTTTAGTTTTGCCCATGCAGACTTCTCGTGTTGGAAATATTTGTTTCATTCAGTGGTTTCCTGCTGTTTGACCTGTGGCTATCCCATTGCTAAGTGCTCACCTGCTTTTTAGATAAATATTTGCTGTGGTTTCTGGTGGACCCTGACTCTGACTGCAACAGTACAATGGCACCAAGTCCCAGTGAAGCAGCTACTTAGCACAAGAGAGAATGTGAGCTATTCTAATGTGGGCAGACTACCTACAGTCTCAATCTGAACTTCTAATCAGCGGTTACATTACAGTGGCGCCATTCGCTAATTTGTCATTGATATTGCATCAAACATAATTTAATTGCAAATAAAATGAATGAATTTTATTGGTCATGACAACTGAGTTGCAATAACTAAATAAATGTTTTGGCGCCTTCATGAACTTGCTCTTTATGTTCTGTTCTGCCATTTTGGCCGCTGTCTTCGAAATGACGCATTTAACGATTACATTTCCACTTATTCCTACATTCCACATGGCACCTACAGTGCATCAGATCTAATAACTGTTTATCTGATGGCTGATTCTTCGAATGAAATGTAGCCCAGTCAAAGTAGTGTTCATTGTTTTGGGGCTCACCAAACAAGACCCTTCATGGCTATTTCTGCTCCTTCCTTACAGAACAGTACAACCTTTAAGTCACATATCAGCACTAATGTTCTCCTCTTTACAAGCCAAAATCATCACCCTTCCTTCATTGTGCTGACATTTGGTATGATGTGTTTGTCCTAATATGTTCTTTACATGCAACTTTGCAAACCTAAGCCATGCATCAGTCCATAAACTTTAGTATTTAAAATGCTAACTGAGGTCTTGGCTTGTTACGGTTTCTTACCTGGCACAAAGCTCGAGCTGACCTTGGGGTGAATTTGTTTGAATGTCCACTCCTGGGATTATTGTGGCATTGTATGCCTGCATGCCCCGGATCAGCAAACTGCCAAAACTTCTGCCTTCATAGAGTTGCTAACGCTTGCTGATGATCAGTTACTCAGGTGCGTTTGAATAGGAGCAACTGGCTGCTACGTGCTCCTTTAACTCTTGTGGAGAAAGCAAGTTTAGTTTAGTTTTTTAGCTTTTTAAAATTTTTTAGTTTTAGTTTTAGTTTTTCGCAGAACTGCCTCTCTGTCTATTGCATTTGCTTATTACTTTAGTAGAAGTTGAGCAGAGCTCTGTTGGGAATAACATGAGGTCACTGAAACTCCATGCACTAATAGACAAGTTTACCCCCACAGGCACACGAGAAGTAACAGCAGAGTAAGAAAGATGTCAATCAATCACTGTCTGCACATGCCCACACAGCCCTGAGAAGATTAGACAATATAAGTGAAAACACCTGTGTGTGCAGCTATGGGCCGTCGAGCGTAGCATATAGGCTTTTATTGCAAATTAACTTTAAAGAAATGGTAGGATGAAATGAAACATGGATGTTTTAAACACACTGTTCTGTTTGGTATTACTTTAGCTATCTTTCTGAGCTTATAACAGATAATGAAAGGGCCTAAACATGGTTTACAGTCAAGATAAAAGCATGCTCTTGTTCAAGTATGCAGACTAGATATTGCAAAAACTTGATCACTTGAAATTCCGTGCATGTGAACACTCTGGGTGATGACTGACTGCAGGTGGATGAGCTGTCAACAGCATGGGGCAGGGGCAGCGTCAGGTGAGAACACTGACCAGGCCCAAGGAGCCTGGGCCCCCGAAGGAACAGGGAGAGAAGAACGGTGTGCTGTTGAGCGCGAGTGATAAGGATGGGAGGGCTAGAATAACTTGTAACTGAGGTTGATTTAAGGCAGACATAAATACTGTATCCTGTCATCTCCAGGCACACTTCACCATGTAAGACAAAATTCTCTAACCTCCTAGGACCTGCGTCCACATATGTGGACAACACATTTTGGGTTATTTAGACCAAAATTCTCAATTTTGCTCTACAAGGGCCTGATATCCACTTACGAGGACATTATACCGCTACTGTTCTATCGAAATTTTAAACGAATATCCTCATATGTGGCTCTCGTTTTTCTTAGAAACAAAAATTAGGTAAAAAAAAAATCTGGTAGTTCTATAGTTTTACGTTCATCAGGTCCCAATCAGCCCAAATATCAGAGAGAAATTAAAAATGCATGCCGTGGAAGAGTTCGGGTCTTAGGAGGCTAAAACAGACATAATCCATTCTAGCGGGTAATATATTAGGACGGTGGTGACTGTGACAGACAGCATGAAATCAGTGAAAGAAGTGTTGCTCTTACCTCATGTTTTACCTAATTGGAACAGACTGTATCACGGTCGAGATATTGCATCAACTAACAAGCATTCATGGAAGGGTTCCATTGAAGTAGTAACAGCCACTGTGTTGGAGCCTGTCTTAAATTTAGGCGCTGTCTTTTTGCATATCAGCTGCTTCCATTGCTAAAGGGACTAAAATCATGTAATCTGATTAAGGTCATTTCCTGTTTAGAGTTAACATTCCTGTATTCCAGATGGGGTAACAGCTATAAAAGAGACTGTAATGACCCAAGGTGACTCACACATCCTCAACCTTGTGAATCTAATCAGCCGTCCAACATCCCAGTGGCAGTTATCCAGTGACCCTTTTAAGTTTGGTTTTGAGAACTGGCAGATAGTAAAACATACTTTGTTTCAAAAGTACAGTGGGTTGTTTATACAAGTACATAGTGCTAGCTAATTTGGGTCTTTTTAATTCAAATTGTTAAGGCTGGGACTGGAAATTGGCCAACGAATCCGGTCACCCGATCTAATAAATATTTGATTATTTTGTATCCATATCCATATGAGTATACAGCCCAACAATAAGCAAGAAAATCCAGCAGTGGTTGAGCTCCAGCTGGGATTTTCATAACCACTAAATCATAGTGAGACTTCATCAATCGCACAAACTCTGGCACTGAACCTGCCAACATTTACACATAGTTTGAAGGGTCAAAAACAGTGAAGCGAAGTCTGCGATACATGACGCGAGCAATTCTTTGGCCAATATCCGCCCAACAACACTGCGCTAAGCTGCATGAAAGGCCTAATGAGACCGCACTTTTTCAAAGGCTGTTTTTTATTTTATTATTGCGGGCAGAGGAAGAATGTGCTACAGTAACACAAAGCAGACCCCGACATCGCAGAAATCCAGTCTTCAAGCAATGACTCGTTTAGTCTCGGATAAGGAGAGAGGTGGAGCGGTAGCAAAGATGAAAGGTGCTCTTAGAGGTTAACAGCAGTGATAACCTCGAGGCCTAATCGTTCAAAGCTAAAACGGACGGAGCATAGCAATGAAATTCGAATATAGGAAAAGAGCAATGACAAAGGCCCTCTAGAATCATAAAGCTGCCCCGTGCTATCACCGGTCAGTCGGTTATGTATGAGATGAAGGTACTAACTGGTGAAAATCCAAATGAGAAATGTCAGAAGAATGATATGAAACACTAACCAAGGATGAGAAGACTGGCATGCACAGGAAGGAAACAACCACCACGTTGACATCCTGTTTGCATTCATGCTCATCAAGCGGGCATCTTTTTCTAGGCGCACATCATTCGAATCTTCTGCTAGAAGCCATTATCATTATACTCTTCCTGTTTATCAGCCTCATGCCCTCACGCTGAGCTCACAGAATGATTATGGAAACTGTTGGATGGTAATCGGATTAGTCCGAGCACTTGACAGATCATGAGTTCTGTTGGAGCGGTCCCACCGCTTTGTTCTTCTGTTTAATTTAATAAGGTCTTACGGTACGAGGGGTCGGACGTGAACATGTACAACAACAGTCTGTCGTTACCTTGTCTTTAAACTCAGTAGCTCCGAATCAGCACCTGCTAAACACTGTCCATACAGTTCTTGAATTATCAGCCTTATTTAAAGATGCATCCATTGTTTTTTGGCCATTTGGGGGTCACAAAAATACTTTTTTCAATTCAACATCATGCACAAAAGTTGCCATAAAGCCAAAACAGTGAGTTAAAACAGTAAAGCAGAGGCGACTTTTAGATATTATTTTACATTAGTTTGTTTCCGAAGGGGATTCTTCCTTTTCTCTTTCTGGTAGCTCTAATTCTGTAGAAGCTTGTCCTTTGCTTGTTGTATATTCTACAGTGGAGATGGAGAAACACATGGGTGCTAACTTAAAGCATCTGGGGTTCATGTCGAAAATATGAAGCCATAAATTGTAATCTAAATATAGCTGCCAGTGTGCTTGTTGTTTACAGTGTTTCTCTAACTCCAAATTAGCATCTACATAACTCACTGCTTGTCTTTCTGTTTTCAGGTGTCCTCATCTTGTGTTCCAGCAACAAACTATGAGTTGGTAAGCAACAGTGTTTCTTTTCTTTTTTCTTTTTTGTGTTGGTAATTGCTTCCATGCTGTACTTATTACAGTGTCCGTCTTGGTGCAGAATTGTTGCAAATAAGGTTGGAAAGTAACATGCTCTATCAGCTACACTAACACTGCAGTCACTATAGCAGATAATGGTCCATTATCTGGAGGCCCCCAGAGACAAACTTGTGATTTGGGGCTATATAAATAAACCTGACATTGCTCGACTTAACCGTTGTTTGGCAGCTCATTTTCTGTTCTGATAAGGTTATAAAGGTTATAGCTTTTGGAATAAAAGTTTAAAAAAATCTTCTGGATAAGAAAGGTAAATAAAAAGCTGTGCTATTGAATCTGCTATATCATGATGACGACTTTTGGTCTTTGAAATAACACTGAGCAAAGTGGGACGTATTCTGGGTATGAAAAGATTCTGCAAGAGCCATAAAATATTCGCTTGCTCGGTTGCCTTATATGGTATTGACATACGAGGCTGTGTTAGACTTGGATATGATTCGCTTGCTCGCTTCATCGAATGTTGTGTGTTTAAATGGTTTTGGGCGCTTGACAAACCAAAGCAAATATCCCCTGCACTTTTCTGTGCTCACACAGAAAATATTTCTTGAAATTGTCTTATTTTGTTTTTAAAAGCAGCAGTAATTAAGAAAGAACATGTTATTATCCTTGCAGTTGCCTTGGCACTAGATGCCTTCTCCATGAAGACATCTGTTTGAGATGTGCAGAGGCATGAGGCTAAGCTCTCTGGGCATTGTTAAAGGCATGTGTTTGAGTTCATTGCTTTCTGAAACACCTTTGGGATGCAGAGGGCAAGATTTTACCACAAAAATAGATTTCACCGCTATCTGTTGGCCTCTATCAGTTTTCCCTCCACCTTTTTCATCTGACGCACTCCTGCAGCCGTCACATGGACTAGGTTCAAGTTTCACCAATTTAGGTGTTTATCCAGAGTTTTAAGTAGTTTATTAGTAGTATAGTAGTATTTTAATAGTCAACGGTAAGGAAGAAAAAACAATTTATCCGCTAGACATATGTGTGTCATGTCAAAAATACACATATAAATAATATTGAAAAATTTTAAAAATATACCTTTTTTAATGCATTTGTACAGTTGTGTAACAGACACTGTATTCATTATCATTCATGATGTTTTTCATACCCACATTTTTCAAGCAGTGTGGAGGACACGTTGTTAGTAATATTGAAATACAGATTAAAAAAATATTATAATATCTTAATTGGTTGTGTATTGCTGAAGAAAGCAGAGGCAAACAGTAACTGCAGGGCAAATCTCGACAGTCTATCTCTTGAGCTTGCCAAAAGGCGTCTCCCTCGAGGCTTTTATGCCTGCATTAAAGGTGCTGATTGCCTCCATAAACACGGACGGGCTGAGGTGTAAAACACTGGTTGACGTGTCTTTACTGTACTGCTGAGGAGAGAGGAAGAAACACAGAAGTGTTAAAGCTGAGTGAAACAATGGATTTCAACACAAACAATGGCACTTTTTTTTTCTTTCTAAAAATACAACTGCAGATACTGAAGAGGAAATAGGAAGCATGAAAAATAAACACAATGGTGGACACCTGCTTTTATGCACCTGAAGTTTTCCAAAGACTTGTGGTGTTAATTTTTGTTGGTAAGCTTTGCTGTGTTTGGTTTTTAAAGTGCAGTATGTATTACAGAAATGAGTAAGTTATTGTGTTTGTGCGTCACCTCTCTGGTGTGTGACAGGAAACTGGATGGTGTGTGTGTGTGTGGACGTGAGAGTGTGCATGCCTGCGAGGCCTGAGGTGTGCTCTCAGTCAGCTCTCCTCAGCCCTTGTTTGGTGAATTCCTTTGCTCACAGCCAAAGGCAACGTGATTTACTGCCCTGCATCAGGTACACTCTGATTGACCATATATTAACTCAGTTGGAGAAAAATGCTGAAAAAAAAATAGAAAGGTTTTTGGTTTTTTTAAATCCAGACATTCCAGTAAGATTGACGAGCTACAACTGGAAGAAATTCAACTTTATTACCAGATGATCGCGCTCCTTATGTAATGAATCTCACGCAGCTGCTACTCGGCTACAGATGAAAATAAGCAGTGCTTAATGAGTTTACTATTTTATTTGAATTTGGATTTTTTTTTCCATTTTTATTCCTTACATGTCCAAAATAAAGTAAAATTTGGAAGCAACAAAATTGGTTCACAGCAAATGCATCTTGTTTTTGGCTTTTCATTAAACCACATCATCATGACTGCAATGAGGTGTTTAGTAGGTTCTGTGGGAGCTTTTGAAATCTTTGATCTTCCTCAGCAGGTGGAGTTGAAATTACAGATGTTCGAAGCCTTTTTTTTCAGAGCATTTGAAGTGGAGTTTATTATGTATAAAAACTCAATTTCAAGTCTTTTTTTTTTTTTTTTTTCTATTCTTGGATCCTGGCTGTCAACAAGAGTGCCTATCCATAATGCCCTTACTAGGTATGCAGAGGCCCTATTGTCCTGCTGTTCAAACCTTTTTTGAGGGGGAATGGCCAGTCAGAAGAAACTTCACTGAATGTCAGGGTGGCCTTTAAGTGTGAGGACCTAAAACCGGTTGGTTTTAAACAGTATAAAAGATGTGCGATGTAGCTACCCTGATGTCATGTACTGGTTTGTGAACTTCTCGCATAAAGTCTTAAGCTGACTGATTTCTCGTAATCAGGTTGGTGTTTTGAAATTGGTATTAAGGAGTGAAGGGGTCAGCTGACAATCAAACCGCATGTTCATTGGCTAACAACCATCACATCCTGTATAATTCTCCTTTCAGACTCTAATAATGGCAATAATTCGCAAAATGAACGTAATCGTTTGTTGAATGTGACCCCAAAGTAGTGACTGAGCCTTAAAAAAATTATCAGGATAATGTCTACAAAGGTCAGGGCCGAGGGCTATTTTCACCATATTCTACAGGAGCGAAGTCATTTTGCAACTACAGCTATTGCCCCCTGGTGGTCATTTAATAGACTGCAGGTTTAAGGCAATTCTGCGAATCCGAGGGCCCTATAAAGGCCCAGTAAAAGATGAAAAATGATTCTTTTGAACTTTAAATGACGCAGACCTACTCTAGGAGATACCAAGAATAAAAGTAGGGAGCTGTACTGTAAATGAGCATAACTGATCACCTTATCACAACAGCTGGGAGTAAAAGTTTGTTCTTGATACTGGTGGTGCTTTTGATTTAATCAAATATCATTAAAAAAAGAGTGCAGACTTATCACCATTATTTAAGTGTTAAGAGAATCGACTTTTCTCATTGCTTAAGGTAAATCTGTCTCCATAGCAACTGGTTTAAGGGCACAGCACAAAGCTAGTCCAACAGTGTGCAGGGCACTGTGTGAACTAAGCTGGATAGATGCAGCTTTTAAATGTACTTATTTTTATTCTGGTCTCAATCAAACTGTGGATGATAAAGCCAGATGAACGGTTAGAGTAATAATTTAGTAGATATGAATAAAACTTAACAGCACCAGCATTAAGTCAATGATACTGTGAAATTGGTGCTTAGTGATTTTAGTATGTTGTAGCAATAAACTGGTGACTACCTCTGGAGTGAATTTGAAATGATTCAGCCCACGGCTGGAAGATGATGCCAACATTTACTGTAAGTGATGATGTGCGTTTCAGATATCTTCAACTGTTGAAGATGACAGCAACTGAGGGGTGCACAGTGTGCCGTAGAACATGCTGGGAGCATTCCTCAGATATTCCCTCATGTTGAGCTCATGTTGCCAGGAATCAGTTTTATTTTGCACAGCCCTTAGATGAGGGTACATGGGCTGTCGTGGAGATGTTAGGTGTTCTCACCGGTGAGATAGGCTGCACATTTGTTCTCGCAAGTAAAGATATGCACACACTCAGAGAACCATAAACCACTAACACCTACGTCATCCACCATTTTTTTAATATAGGTCTTGTGTAGTCAGGGAACAGGGCCAGGACATCGCTGAGTAATGAGTAACTGCAGGGCAAAGATGGTGTAGATGTGGTCCAATTAGTGCTGTGTTTAGAACCACACATATTTCCCCGATGTGCCCTGTGTTACGCTGTGTATACAAGCAGCAACCAGGGATCCGGTTACAAATTACAGAATGTTCGCAGAGCCCTGGGAAAGCAGGAACTAAAACATAAAATAGGCATGTTTAACATTGGACTGAGAGCCAACTAAAGCATAATGCATTGGTATTTGAAGTGGATATTACATAAAGATGCTGTGTGAAAGATAGGACATCATGGTCAAGTTTTTCCTCTTCCGGCACTTTGGTTTAGACGGTAAAAAGAATTAGTTACATACTGCTCAGAGTGACTTCCCTAAGGAGATGGTTGTTAAACAACTAGGAGAAAGTAACTTTCATGCTTTTTCTATCCAGTTCCATAGAATTCCAATCCAAATGCAGTGTGCATGTTCTAGAGATTCAGTTCTTTTTTGTGAACATATAATATTTTAAAGCTCATACAAGTTTGGTTGCTTTGCATCAAATTGCAAAGCAAAATGTATAATGCACCAAAAGTATATACCAGTATACTTGTAACTGATACACTGAAAATAACTGAGCCTTTTGGTTTACAATGGTGAATTACAATTGAACAGTGGCTTATAAATTGCAGTTTTATGAAGTCATCCCACAAACTTAGTAGCTGCAGTCCAAGTATTTCCAGTTCTGTTCACTCTGACCTGATTACCAGAATGGACTTTTTTTTGCACGCTAAGCAGTTATTTATTTTTACCAGTGTTAGAAAACACAGTATGAAGACTGTCAGTTTAGATTATGGTCACTCAGTAACTGCAAGGTATAAGATGCCAATATATCCTTCAGAAAATCTATGATTTTTACATTGATACACATTTTTCCCTAGCAACCAGAGGTCACCAATTGGTCTCTAAGCTTTTATGACTGATACCTCAGAAGGTAAAAGCCTGCTTTGCATTAAATATATATTGTTTATCCACCAGT